AATTTTTTCTCGTCCTGTGGACTGTGGTTAAATATCTTAATTTTGATATCATTTAAACCAGCTTGTAACTCAGGTAAAAGCATGCTTTTAAATCTATAACCCAATTGTATTATAAACAAATGATAAAAGAAAAATTGCTGAGCTCAACATAAAGGGGAACAGCTGATCACAGAATGACAGGCAAACACACAAACAAGTTCACAGAACAAACAAACATCTTTACAAAATCAGAGTGCACTCAAATATATTTTTGACCAAATTAAATTATAGTAACTATTACAATCTTAGAAATTTATAACTTAAATAGACTAGTCAGATTATGTTGTCAATTAGCAAAGATCTCTTACAAAATTTTTGGAAGGAATAGAATCTTTTATCTATAATGAATATGTATATATTGTATTCTAGCCTCTTAAGAATACTGGTATGGGGGCTGGGGATTTAGCTCAGCGGCAAAAAGCACCTGCCTGGCAAGCGCAAGGTCGTGAGTTCGGTTCCCGGTACCGGAGAAAAACCAAAAAAAAAAAAAAAAAAAAAATACTGGTATGTATCAGCTAAGTTGACTCATATACTTTTTTACTTCTGATTTCCATTTTGTCAGTTTCTTTAATAGGCCCCAGGTTGAATCTAGCCTCATTAGGTGAAGGCATCCACGAGAATCTTTTCCGGGCCATGAAATTGATGGTACCCCTTGAGAGCTTCTCCCAGCTTGTCCCAGGTTGCAATATCCAATGCACCACCTGCGGGAAACCAAGGGCAGCACTCAGCAGGAAAGGAAAGAAAGTGAGAAATTTGTGGGGAAGACACAGCAATCCCTTGGGACTGCAAGAGAGTCCTGACAATGTCCACAGAGTCTCTACTCCTTGGACTGATCATGCCCCATTTTACTCCCAATGAGAAATGCCCCCTTTCTGCTCACATGTACTGTCAAGGCCTCTTCCAAAGGAGGTTCCCTTCTCCTGTACATCTGTGCCTCAGGTCCCTGTTCCTGCGAGCCTGCTGTGTCGAGCCCCACGTTGGGCGCCAGCTGCCAGAGTCCAGCTCCCACCGAGGGAACAGGGAGAGGGGAGAGGGAATGAACAAAAGAAAGAAGGGGTCTGGAGGACTAGTGAAGGTAACCAGTGGTTTCATTTATTGAGCAGAGCACTTAAGTACAGATTGATGAGGCAAGCAGCCAAACCCTTGCCCTAGATTCCACCCCCAAAGTTCCCGCTTCTGTTACAATCATTGCTGGACACATAATGACCCATTCAGGAGCACTGACTCCACAGATCGGCCCATTACATTCTGCTCTTACAAGGAAGTTGCGCCCATTGCATTGCCATGGGGAGGTTCTGTGTTGTCCTCGCCCAGCTCGGTCCCCAACAGCATTGCACCACCACGCTCAGCTTGTTTTTGCTTTTTGGACAGGGTCTCATTATGTACTTCGGGCTAGCCTTAGACTCACTGTGTAGCCCAAGCTGGCCTCGAACTCACAGTGATCCTTCTGCCTCAGCCTCCTTAGTGTTGGGATTATACACATGCACCTCCATGCCTGGCTGGGTTTTGTTTCTTGATTTATTTTACCATTCTGTTTCTTTTGCTTGGGGAATTGAGACCATTCACATTGACAGATACTGATGTATCCTGTCATTGCATGATGTTCCTGTTGCTGATTTTTTTCCTCCTTCTGCTTAACTGCTCATCCTGCCTGGTGTATTCATTCTACCAGAGCATTTTACAGTTTTGGCTTCATTGTCTCTTTCTAGATCATTGTTGAGCATTTTCTGGAGTGCCCATTTAATGTTATTGAATTTCACAAGGTGTTCTTTGTCATTCAAAACCTAACTTGTCCATCAGTTGTTCTGTCTGTTTTAGACAGAGTTTCACTATGCAGTTCAGGCTGACCTAGAACTCACTTTGTAGCCCAGGCTGGTCTTGATCTTGCAGTGATCATCCTGCCTCAGCCTCCTGAGTGCTGAGATTACTGGAATATGCCACAACATGCAGCTTCTTCCCATCAATTTTGAAAGATAGTTTTGTAGGATCTATCAGTCTGGGTTGGAAGTTGTTGTCTTTTAGGGTTTGAAACTCTTCACTCAAAGCTTTCCTGGCCTTTAAGGTTTGTATTGAGAAGTCTGATGTCATTCTAGTGAGTTTGCCTTTATAAGTGATTTCTTACTTTTCTCTAACAGCTTTTAAGATTCTATCCTTGTTGGACTTTTGGGACTTCGGCTGTATATTTTATGGAGAAGTTCTTTCCTGATTACTGCAATTTGCGGTTCTATATGCCTCACTACTTTGCATATAAAATTCATTCCTCAAATTTGGAAAGTTTTCTACTATTATTTTTGTAAGTAGATCTTTATGCCATTTGGGCTGTCTTCTGATTTTTCACTAATTCTGGTGAATCTTAGAGTAGTCTTATTTTCATTGTCTACGAGCTATTGGAACCATTCTCCACATTCTCTTCTTGTTTTTAGGATATCTTTGAGTATGTGCTCACTGACATCAGCCCTTTCTTCTATTCGGACTAAAACTTCTGGTTCTATCCTCACACTGGTTGTGGAGGGCCACCTGGACAACTCTCCTTGAAAGAGGAGCAGCTATCTCCATTTTGCCTAAACCTGGCTCTTTTCCATGTACTGATGTGTACAGAGCTGGCTAGGACTTTTCCTCATCCATTTAATTGACTCTAAACAATGCAAGTTGGTCCAGCTGGGGTGCTGATGTGTAGTCTTTGAAGCAAGGTGACAGGGCAGTGTTACCTTACCCCATAGCTCCCAAATACAACATGTGAGCCGGGCGGGAAGGAGAGCCATGCTCCATGCTGTGGGCTTGGATGAGCCTTGAGATAAGAGGCTATGACTTGCCAGGGCATAAAAGATTACATGTTAGAGCTTCAGCTTGACCCCCACACATTAGATACTATCTCAGTTATGTTATGCGATTACTTTTTCCGCATATCCTTCGCTCTGCATTTTGCAGAGGTGATTCTGGCCTCCTACCTAGCCCAGCTCACAGCACTCACCTGCTTCCCGCCATTCTGACAGGCATTCATCCCGAAGCCCCTCCCTTCTTCACGAATTAATAGAGCCCAGTTCTGCCCTGGGTCAAGGCTTGTGTTCTGCATAGCAATCATCCTAGGTGGACTTAGGACCCTTTAGCTCCCCACAAGTACAAATATGCCCCAGTGTCTTCGTTCTCGTCATGCGTTGCACTGGGCGTGGTAGACTGGAATGAACTCTCTAGGATTCCAGTAACTTTTCTATGGGATTTCAAATATAAACTTCCCTGACTGCAACAAGGACCGGGACGGACTGGCTATAACTGGTCACTTCTGGTCTCCATTACATGCAGTAGAAAGTTTAATCTTCTGGATTTCCATTTGCCACCTTTTCATGGACACCGATTCTTGCTAAACTGTTTTGCATTGTTTATTTCAGCTCAGCTGGCTTTTTGTCAGTGTCATTTGTAAGCTTACTGATTTTTTTGTTTATTAAATCCATTATCTGTTTAGTGATATCATCTTCGAGCTCACTGGGAACCTTATTGATTTGTGTTTTTGTCTCCTCTTTAGTCATTTCATATAATTCAGCTGTTGGACTTTTGATTTCTTTCCCCACTGACATCCCTGGATTGACTGTGTGGGAGTTGGGAGTTTTTGGAGGCATTTTGTTGCCTTGCCTTCTTATGTTTCCATTAGTTTAGCTTTTTAATTTTTGTGCAGAGTTTTGTGGATCAGTGAGAGTAGAAAGGCTTTATTGCTACTATGGAGATCTCTTTACTTAGCATCTGCTTTTCACTGATGGTCTGTGGATGTGGCTAACTTTAGGCTTTTGTCTCTATCCCAAGATCCCATCCCTTGTTAATTTAGGTGGGGAAGGTACAGTGTAATTGGCCCAGGCTGAGTTCTCCAGAAATGAACCACAGTATTGTTGATGACACAAAGACAAACCAGACACTGGCATAGAGAAAAAGCCACACAAAAACTGTAACACCCTGGCAAAGACAACCAAATTAACAGCAATAGTAACTCAAAGACAGACTGGATATTGACATAGTGTAAGCACCAATAAAAGTGATCACTATACCACCCTTAACCAGAGAAATGAGGTCTAAAATTATAATATACACACAAAGATAAAGCCATTGTTGACATCCAGTAAATAGCAAATACAGGTGACAATTATACTGCCATTAATAATCGAAAAGAATGCAACAAGAATAGCACAGAGTTAAATGTCTAAAGATTAACATAACTTAATCATAATACTAGTAAAGATGGAGGGTGTGGGAAATGAGAGAATGAGAAAGGAAGATGAAAAATAGGAGACAAAAGTGAGATAAGGCATCTTATTAAGCAGTAAAAGAAAATTAATAGGATCAGGTGAAAGTAACAGAAAAGGTCAAAGTAGAAAGAGGAAATATTTTAAAAACAGAACAAAATAAAGAAAAAATAATAATGAAAGAAAGAAAAACCACAACCCTTCCCCCAAAAAACAAAGAAAAAAAGAAAAAAAGAAATGAGTCCAAAAAGTAGGCCTCCACGGTTCTGAGTGGTTCATTTCTTCCCAGCGTGTGCAGCAGGAGAATGCCCCAACTGGGGGAAGGGCCAGTGAGTCACTGCCAAAACTTGTTTTGTTTCTGTACTCAGCACTCATGTTCTTGTGTGTGAATGCTGAGTCCTGCCCCGCCTTTCCCGCTGGGCATGGTCCTTCAGTGGTGTCCACCCAAGGGATCTGTCCTCCAGAATTCTGACCACCGTGCCTTGTGGCACCTCTCACCACTCGAGGTGTCTTTGTGCCCCATGAAGGAGCTCTTCTTGGGAAGGATGTCTCCTCCGTGTCAGCTGCTGTGGCAGCACGTGCCATTTAGGATTGCAAACGATGGCTGTCAGATGAAGTCCTGTCTCAGCCTGTCGCCATGGGGGTGGTTGGAGGATCGTCCACTGTGCATGACTGTGATAGTGATCTGCCTCCCAGCTTTTGCCTTCTTCTCCCCCATTGTGCTCCCTGCAGTGTTGGCAGCACGGAAGACTCATTGGACCTGAAGAAGAAAGCCCCCTATGACAGCACTCCACACCGCGAGAGGTATGTCCGCTTTCTTCCCCGCAGGAGCCCCCGTTCTGTGGAGGACGCTGAGCTAAGAAATGTCTCCAGGGCCCGTCTGCCTTTGTTTGCTGCTTTGCACTCTCCAGTGGGTTTGCAGATCTGTCCCGTGGTAGAGCACACTGGAGGCTGGGACCGCCCTTATTGGGATGTCACACTTGCGGCAGCCAAAGCCTTTGAACCCTGCTAAGAGCAAAGGGTAAACATGAAAGTCTACAGAGAAGGGAATTGATGTCAGAAAGCCCAGGGGACTCATGTCAGCAGGAGAGGCTCCTAGAATTAGTACCTCATTGATCATGTAAGTAGCTTGCATTTGTGACCCAAAGTCAAAAGGCAACCACAAAATAGAATGGTGGGTGGAAAATAAAATTTATATATATATATATATATAGTGAGCTGCTGTGATCAAGAAGGCGGAAAAGACACACAGAACTAAGGAGCAGAGTGGCATGGTGTGCTTGCATTGAATGCAAGCGCAGAGGGCACCTCATCTGGCAGTTCTGAAAACCATTACTAGACAACAGCCACGGGATGGTCTGTATAATAAAGTCCTGGTTTTAAATTCTTAGACGAGGAGAGACAGTCTTGGAGGTTGAGTGCATTGAGGTTACAGTGAAAGAAGGAAGTCTGGGGAGAATAAGCAACGCGGCCCTAAGTCCCACAGGGAGGTAGCAGCAGAGCCGAGACTAAAGCACAGAGCCAGACTACTCCCATGTTACGCGTGTTTCTGCTCGGCCTCTGCCTTCTCATTTATCAGGAAATCTAAATTCCTGGAACGGACATGCAGAGGCCACCACTAGTCTGTGGAAAAAAAGGAAGTGATAGAGTTCAGGTTAAGGGATCCTCCCAGGCCCCCCGGAGTAAACAGGTATAGGGAACTGTGCTAGTCCTGCAAGATTAATCCCTCCTGAGGCCCAACTTTCAGAGGTCCCACCACCTGTCATATTGCCACCCTGAGGACCTAGGTGTGGGGACAGCGCCAAACCATGTCCAAACCGTAAGCGCGGCAGGTTGGTTAGACACCTGAGAACGAACATAGGAGCTCATGAAATGAGGCCTCCACGCCCTGCAGCGTGGGAGGCCACATACCCCATTGAACAACTACCAACTCCAGACCCAAGTATTCCTGATTAACTGCTGGCCTATGAGGAGGGAGGGGAATTCTCCAGGGATGACCCCAGTCCCTTGCACACTCACATGCACAAGCACACAGGGAAAAGTGAGCTGGCAGTGCTGGAGGGAGGAACAGGGCTGTGCTGGGCACTGTGGAGGCTGGAGAGCGGACTCTGCCCTGCAGCAGGATGGCAGGGCAGACCGGGGATGCCCTTGGTACCGCAGGGCCTTGGAAGGGAGCTCGAGTGGCCCAGGGAGGCAGCACCACCTGCTCCTGTCCGAAGCCGGTGTGCATTTCTGGAGGGAAAGCACCCCTTGCCTGAGCCTGTATCTGAAACTGAAGCCCGAGTGCCAAGCAGACTCTCTAAGACGGAGATGGGCGTGCTGGGTCCGAAAGGAGAGGGGCTGGGACGCAAGGGTCAATACCCAGGTGTGAAAACAGCGGCCCTCAGGACTGCTTTGGAGCAGTCATGCAGAGGTGTACGGCAAGCAAGGGTCCCTGGCCCATGCGTGAGCACAGAGGCCCGCAGACTGCTTTGGAGCAATAATGCAGAGGCCTACAGCAAGCGGAGCCCCAATCCAGCCCAGGCCTGCAGTCCTGACTGCATGCCGCAGAGAAAGATGGCAGGCTGGGGCTGCTGATGGCTGAGTCAAGCCAGCAGGTCTGTCTGCATCACGCTGGCAGTCTGTAAGCCAGCCTGACCACTGGGATCTTCTTCTTCCTCTCACAGAACAACTGGAGGGACCTGCACTTACTGCAGCCGTGAGATTGGAGACTGTCCAAAGATCACCCTAGAACATCTTGGTATCTGCTGCCATGAATATTGCTTTAAGGTAAGAAAGAAAGGTGCTGCTTTGGAGAGCAGCCCGCAGAGCGCACCACGCACAACTGCACAGTCCCGGAGGCTTCTCGGGCCTGGGAGCTGCATGGGCTCCCGACTCCAGGGAGTGAGGGAGTGCGGGCAGTGCTCAGCACCCAAGCAGGCACTCAAGCAGTCTCTGGGGAAAGAATTCCCAGCCCAGCGCCAACAAGCGCCAAGGCACCGAGCAGCAGCACACGGTGTCAGCTGAGATAGCCAGCGAGAGGGCAAAGGGTAGGAGACGAGGTTACGAGGCTTCTGTGGGCCACCTTGTGTAGGCCTTGGAGGACATGGGCTTCGGGTTTCATTCTTCGTGCGGCTGGAACCGACTAGAGACTATGAGTCGGGGAGTGGCAAGGTCCTTTCACAGGGTGCCTCTGGGGACCCGCGAGGAATTTTCTGTAGCAGGGGCTTCTGTCTTCCGGGCCAGTACAAAGCATGGTCACCGACTGTAGGGAGAGGAGGGGAAGCGTGGACATCTGGGGGAGAGGAGAGGGGCTGAGCTGTGCCTCAGAGAGGCGGAGGTTGGTGGACCAGAGGGAAGTGGAGGCCATGCAGTGCCCCTGGGTGCCCGTGAACGCCTCCCGAGATGGGACAGTGGAGTAAAGCAGAGGATGTGCGTTGGCAAGGTGGAGGGTTTGCCTGGCTAGTCTGATGAAGTAAAGTGAGTGTGAGTGCTACGGGAGGCGGCAGATCTTCATAAGAAGACGGGCACAGAGGGGCAGTTTGAGGACCAGTTGTGTTCTACAGACTCCAAGTAGGGATGTATTCTTGATGTTAAAGATCAGGATACATGGTGCGACCGAGCACATTGCTGGCACTCGTATGAAGTGCAGCAAAATGATAGGAATCTGAAACTCAGGCTGTGCCTGAGTGCTTCAGCACTGGTGGTGCTGCAAAGCATTCTGGGACAATGCAATTGGAGTAGATAGAGCCCAGGAAGGTTTTGTGAAGGTGGAGGTTGTGGGAAGAGAGGTGGGGGGACGGGGCTTTTCTCAGGGTGCCAGCCAGGAGCCACGCCTGCGGAGGCCTCTGTCCCTGTGTGCGGAAGGCTACTGTGGCAGAGAAGTTGTCGTCGGATGCTTGGGGAATTCTAGAGGGTGAGCAGAGGGCCTGGGAGCCACTTCCCTGAACCAGGAGCATAGGGTCCAGAGCACTGTTTTTTTAAGGTCACAGAGCCATTCAAAACTGAAGGTCTCTGTCGCAGTCTGGGTCCTGGCATCAGAGCCGGGGGCCTGCCTCCCAGGAAAAGCCACCACAGAGCCCAGCGTCATTCCTATAAGCTATTCAGGAGCCTTCAGCACAGGCTTTCCTTCCCTCCCCCTTGGAAATTCGAGTTGGTAGGGTTATACCCCTGGCCACCACATGGTGGCAGCTCTTCGGGACCCCTGATGTCCAGGACAGGGAGCGCCCTGAAAGCCCACTTTGCTTGTTTTAGTCTTCTGCATGCCCAGAGGTGACGCCAAATGGGTCTGCACTGTCAGGGGGCTCAATTCAGGTTCAAGCCTGGTTTCACAAGAACTAAAGTAACAGAAACACGATACACAACTAAGAGGGGTAATTCTTTTCAGTGAGAAAGAAAACTGCCAGGAGAGAGGAGTCACAGAGGAAAACAGTTTGCCTCACCTACCGCACTTCATTAGAATGAGCAAAGGGAAGCTGATGGGATGGTGCCTCCCAGGAAGTCTTTGCGCTTCCCAGCATCCTTTGGGAGGTTGGAGCCAGAGGACTCAGCCTGGAACCTGGAGAGGGTGGGGACAAGGGTTCTGGGGCTCCTGGATTTGAGACTGGGGGGAGGGACCACTGCTGGCTTCCCTGGAGAGGGGCCCAAGCACCATGGTGCTACAAAGGTGTGCCTGTGAAAGGTCCTTCCCTTTCAGGGGACTTTACTGTCACCTTCCTCTGCACCTCACGTGTTGCCAGTGATGTGTCCCATTTTCTCTGCCGCAGCAAGGACTGCTGGCATTGATCACGCGCTTGCGCCTGGCATTAGGCTCAGTGCTCTCCACAGACCGTGTCCCCAAGTGCGCCTGGAAGCCTTGGGCGGTGCAGCCTAGCACTCTGTCCATTTCACAGATGAGGAAGTGGAGGCTGGGAGACTTTGAGTAACTCTCAAGCCCATCGAGATATATGTTAATCCTGCCAGCCAGGTTTGTGGTTTTTCAATGTAGCTCATTTTGAGGTTGAGTTTTGCTTTTGTTTTTTGTCTCTTTGTTTGTTTGCACATGTTGTCTGCTGGGAAGTCCAGGACCTGCTGTCAGCACCCAGCCTCCGCCTGCCAGCCTTTTCAGGCCCCGCGCCTGCTGCATATATCCGTGCTGCTCCACTGGGCACGCTGACCTGCACTTTGCTTCTCTTTCAGTGCGGCATCTGCAGTAAGCCAATGGGCGATCTGCTGGATCAGATCTACATTCATCGTGACACCATCCACTGCGGGAAATGCTATGAGAAGCTGTTCTAGGTGGGTGCTGCCAGCTCATGGGGCAGGCAGGCAAGAGTCCCACTGGGGGAGAAAGTTTCCTGGGTCTTGCCCCAAGACTCTGCTGTCCTTCTCTGCCTTATAGAGGCACAGCTAAGAGCAAAGAGGGAGCGTAAACAGCCTTACAGTTGTTCCAATGCAAGCCCCTCCCTGAGGATGCTTCCAAGCTGCCAGAGCCAAGGTCTGTTTCTGTCAAGAAACCTCTTTCACCCAGCACCTCCACTGTGGCCTCTAGCTGCCCTGGGCTGTCACTAGTCTCTGTTAGCCCTCATTTGTGAGGAGGAAGTAAAGACTGAGAAAAGGAGGGCGTCTAGGGAACCGCCACCGTGGTTTATGGTAGAATCAGGGCCTCACCCGAGCTCTGTAGATTCCAGTCCACTATTGCCCACCCAACTTCACGTTCAGTCTCGGGGCCCTGGTGTGCGTGCACGCCTCTGTGCTAGCAGCCAGTGCAGGTGCCGGCAGTGTCCCGGCACAGAGCAGAGTAGCTCCCTCAAAGGCTGTGAAAATGGCCAGCAAGCAGACCTTCCCCCAGCGACACACAAGTCGCCTCCTCTGCAGGAAATGTATCTGAGCTGCTCTCTAGCTCCCCATGCAGGAGCAGTCCCCCGCCACAGAAGCCTCTGGCTCTTTGTTGGATGTGATGTGTGTTTCTAGTCTTACCACTACTTCTGTTTTCTTACAGCTCCCTCAGGCCAATCAGAAGCTAATGATTCCTGGACGAGATTGGCTGCCTCAAGTTGCTGGTTCCCCTCCTTCTCTTCCTTCTTTCCTTCCCTCTTCTTTCCCTCCTTCCTTCCTTCCTTCCTTCCGTCCCTCCTTCCTTCCCTCCCTCCCTCCCTCCCTCTTTCCTTCCTTCCCTCCCTCCCTCCCTCCCTCCTTCCTTCCTTCCTTCCTTCCTCAGATTGCTTCATCCTCTTTCCCTTCTTGGGTTGCGCTTGCTTACATCCGCTATCATATCTTAATGAGGCCATGATGATTCCTTACGTGGGCAGCTTTTATTACTTAGAAGGCACTTGACATTCATGATCTCCATTCAACCTAGGTCAGAGGATGGAGCAGGAATCCCCTCTTGGGTTCCCTAAGGCAGATTGGCTTTCTCATGAATATAGGTGGCCCAGCATGTTGGGCACGGTCACACGTGTGGCCTTTGGGGTGCACTGAGTCCCTTGAGGCCTCCGAGGGGCCAGACTGAAGGCTGCTGGCGATCCCTGGTGGGGAAATTGCAGCATTAGATGCTAGGGGTTAGCATAGGCTAATCTTTAGCTTGTCTAATTACCGTATATATGTTTAATTTTCCATACCCCTTTTAGGGTAGTTAGTTGTCTTTGATTGAATTATATACAACAGATTTTGATTACCTTCTCATGTCCACCTTTCACTGTGTTTGAACTTTCCTTGCAAGGACGTGGGGATGCAATAGAAAGTTTACACAGTTAGGTTTAAATTCCTTAGGGAATGACTTAAGAAAGCTGCTGACCAAAGGGCTAGTGAATCTTGACCGCTGATGAATATCTTTGCCCTCAGTTCCTGCTTCCTGAGCTTCACACCGGCATCCCCTAAAGTAGCTTTTAGAGAACGTGGACCCTAGCAGGACTGACCAGAGAGAAAAGCAGCTAACATTTCTTGATGCCTCGCCACCTGTCAGGCGCTATGACAGAGTGATGGCGTTCGTGACCGCAGAGAGGGTGTCCTTGTCCCCATCTTACAGCTGAGGGTGGGGAGGCTCAGAGAGGTGGTCATTGCCTTCTGAAGAGCCTTGAAGGGCAGGCTCTGTCCAGGAGTATTGATTTATGGTGTAGTGTGTGCCTGGGGCTGTGCAGAAGAACCTCATCTCCCGGGGAACCCCGACCCACGCAGGAGATGTATGTGAAATCATGCTCCTCTGGCATCCCGAATCCTCCTACAAAGCACTGTCAGGCCAATGCTGTCCCGCTTCCTCTCCCCCTCCTTTATGTGAAAAGTGCCCCTGAGCTGATGCTTTTGGCTGGGAACACATTGCACTCACACACATTCCCACAGAGGAGTTTGTCAGCCCAGAGGCAGCTCTAGTGGCCTAGCTGCTCCAGCAAGGAGCCTTCAGTCACCTCCAGGTTCTCAGTCCAGCCTGCCTCTAGCTGTGGCACCTTTTGGGGGCCCAGGTCCTCAAACTGTGGGTGGGGCAGGTGTGGGTCCACCTGTACACTTTGCTTACCCTGTGCTCAGCTTCCCCTGCACGCTGCTGCAGCCTTTGCTCCGAGCTTTGATTTGTGAACTTCTCAAGAGGGAGAATAAACAACTTTAGAGTTGTTCAGATACTCGCCAAAGGCCTCTTCTCTTGATGTGTTTCTAAAATGCCTCTCCATCTTTCTCCCTTCTCAGCCCTATGTACGTTAGCTTGTGGACTTGTTTGTTCTTCCCACCCCCTGGCCCCAGAGGAACACTCCACTTGTCTGCATAGCTGGCTTCAGGTTTACTCGGGAGAGAAGCGTGGTGCAGTATGCCGTGGAACCACACAAATGTGAACTCGTCTTCCTCAGCCCTAGCTCCAGCACAGGACTTGGCACATGGTGGGCACTGACAATGGGTGCCAGGCAGATGTGCCAGAGAGAAGGAAGTCTCCTGTGGGGAGAGGTGCCACCTCGCAGTGTCGGCATGGGCCCTGCTGTTGGAATGCACGGTGAAGGGGCCCAAGATAAGTGGTCTCCCCGCTTACAGGTATACTGTACCCTTCAGGGCACTTCAGAACCAACAGGCAAGATACACAAAGACAGCTTACAAGATCGGTGTGGATTTTGATCCGCAGCAGCCTTGCGTGTCTGTTTTGGCAGAGAATTCTGCAGACTTGAGGAAGAGGGACGCTTGCATTACATTTTGGCTTCTTGTCATTTGCTTAGTGTTTCTAATTGTACTTGCTTAGTCCACATCAATGTACACAGTTTGAATAAATGTTAAGACATTACATGTGTCAGTGTGAAAGTTTCCTTCATGAAGTGTAATACCTTGGTGAATTCAGCTGTGCAGCTTACTGAATACTTTCACTGTACCAAAGCAAGTAAGCACTTAGTGGCAAGGTATGGAAACCGCGCTGGCAGAAAATGTGGAGCTTGAGAACAAAACAAAAACAACAACAGAAAAGAAAATGTGGAGCTCGAGACTGGGCAAGTCCTGAGAGAAGGAATGTCGTAGTCTTTGTGGTCCACCCTCGCCAGCATCACTGAAGAGTTCTGCGATCAGCCTTTTCTCTGGGCTGCCCATATGGTGAGGATCACAACTACTTCGGAAAGCCTTAATGCAGTGAGATTTGGAACCTGGAGTGGTGGGAACCACATTGTGTGGAGAGTGGCTGAAGCTCAAGCTTGATCACATGTGTGGGCCAGAGCAAGGCCGGCCTGAAGAACACAGAGCGCATGAGGCAAGTCACAGGAATAGGCCGCTAGGTGGAGGACTTTCATGTGACATTCAACATCCCAAGTGTATACGTAACTGCGCTGCAGCCTTTGGGGCCTTCCCTCCTTTTGCACCCCCCCTTCCTCCTTCCTTCTCCCATCGGGAGGGAGGGCTCCATCTGGCCTGAGTTTTCCATATTCTGACTCTTGTCCTCTTTTCTCCATCCTCGCACCGTCCTCACCCTGGGCGCTACGAGAGCCTCGAGGGACGCGGCCAAGTTGCAGCACTTGGTTGCCAAAGGAAGGTGTGTGTGGTTACTGCAATGAACAGCAGAAGCAGAGCAGCAAACAGGATCATCTAAGGTGAAGGAGAAGTTATGGCATCTGGCCTGTCCCAACCAAGAAGAGGCTCGATGCCTTTTGGACCTATTTGCACTTTGAAGAGAACGTGTTCTTCACTGTCAGGGCACACTTACAGAATAGCAGACTTGTAGGCATGTTATAACAAAAGTCAGAAATCAATTCATAGCCTGTGACTATGCTCACGCTGCCTGTCCCATGGCTAGCCTTGACTGTCCAGGCCCAGATGTTCCCCCTTAACCATGTGTGGGTCCAACTGACTGTGTCTGGCTTGTGCTTTAAAAATACTCACTAATTCCAACTTGCTTCAAGGGCTTTAAGATCATCATATTTGGGGGAAGAGTGGCCCAAGCAAGGACACGATCAACTCTACCTACTCTTCTCAGACCCCCTCCCTCCCAGAATATTCCTGTATGAACCTGCCTGGCAGTATGACATCATTCTTGTACTCCGTGTAACCAGTCGTGTAAGAACCTGCTATCAGCTTTGTACTTCCACTCGCAAACCATATTTACACTGAACTCAAACCCGACTCTCTTTTGGTGATCTGAAACTCCGCGTTCCCCAGCCTGCTTGCGTAATGAAATAAAAGTTGCCTTCTACCCCCTCAGTGCAGAGTCTTCCGTTTGGATTGATACTGGTTTTGCTGCTACACACTTGCGTGTGTTATTCAGGCCATTTACTGAGTAACTGGAAAACTTGCTAGCTTTGACTGAACCTAGCACAGAGGTCTGAAATAGGTCTGGGCTGCTGTGCAGGCTGCGCTGCCACTTGGGCCATATGGGTCAGTGGGTCCAGCGGTGCTTGGAGTGGCAGTGGCAGAGAGGAATGCCGTTTGGATCATGTAGCAGGCCCCAAAGGTGAGTTATAATATGTATCCTTAGGATTTTGGAAGAAGGCCAGAAGAACAAACCTCAGTCAGTCTTCATCTTCCTTTGAGGTAAGAGATTCATGTATTTTTAGTTGTATGTTGATACTTTTATCATGCAAGGTAGAATTATGATCCTATTATTAGATTTATTGGAAGTTAAGTATGGTTTCAGGAGATGTCTGTGGGCACCAAGTGACCTTTATGTGTCAACCTGAGTGGGCCAAGGGATGCTCAGAGAGCGAGTATAACATTATTTCTGGAAGGGCCTGTGAGGGTGTGAGCATTGGTATGAGCAGGTGAGTAAAGAAGACTGCTTTCTCCAGGGTGGGCAAGGAGCATGGACTTCCTCGAGCGGATGTTGGACTCGGAGACTCTCACTGATTGCTCCCCTCAGCAGCCCTCCTGTCTTGCACTGGCCGTTTCACCAACAGTTCCCATGTGCGCCTCCGGCCTTTGGATTGAGACTGGGGCCAAAAGTCTGAGCTGCAGGTCAGTTTTCTACGAGGGAACAACCTGTTCCAGGTCAGTCTCCTTGGGTGTGCATAGCTGTCTCTTCCCTGTGTTCCTTTCCATCGACTGCCCTGTGTGGGTGTCTGTTGGGGACAGGCTATGTAAGGCCTAAATTGCTGAGGACAAAGAGGAAGTGCTCATATTTGCAGGGATCTGAAGTCAAGATAACACCACAGCGGAGGCAGCAGAGGACACACTCCCTATTCCAGAACAGTAAAACTGTCAACCTTAGCAACCAAAAAGTTCTCTTAATGAACACATTTACTGTCTGATTAATCTTGTTTAGAATTGCCCTGCTCTGTGGGGAGGACTGAGGGCTGGGCATGGGATGGCCTCCAGGGCCCTCTGTGTTCTGTGCCAGGCCCACCGTCTGTTGATCTCCATGGTCCATTGGCAGTAAGGGTGGGGTGGGTTGACTGCTCAGCAGGTGGCCGTTGTCCTGTCACTCCTTGCGTGGGGGCACCAGGAAAGTGATGCCCTATGGTGCCTTCTCCTTCACAGTACGTGAATGCCCACTTGTGGGTAAAGAGTGGGCGGTGGGCCTCAAGAGCAGGCAGAGGCAGGGAGCACAGAAGGGCCGCTGTGGGGATGGGGTGGTGTTTGCCTGGCTCTTGGCCTCGCTGTCCAGCTGGCATGTGATGTACACATCCGGATGTGAGGTGACGAGTCCATATGTATTTCCTTTCCAAATAACCTAACATTCCAAGTGAGCTGTACTGGCTCTGAGCAGAGCAGGAGGTGGCTCTGGATGCAAGCCTAGGGAGAGTCCTGCCTGTAGGGCCACACTCAGTGCTCTGCGCTTGGCCACACCTGCAGGGCTGGGCCTTGATTGGGTTCCCCCACGGCCGCTCCAGCCCTCTCAAACCCAGGAGGCTCAGCTCTCCTGGCTCCCCGGGCCGGCCCCAGGAGCCAAGGCAGTCAGCTGGGTGGGTTTTCATGACCCCAGATTATACACAGCCCACCAGAGGAGCCTAGTGAGCAGTGTGCTGCTGGACTCAAATGTAGAATAGGGCTCCGCAATGCACATGTGGCAGGCTGAGCAGGGATGAAGGGGACACGAGGCCCGCAGGAGCAGGCCCTGGCTCTAGGCCCCACTGCTCAGTGTCAGTGGGAAGCGGCTGCTGCCTCCAGTGTCTCCTTCCCAACTGTCCCCTTTGCTGCTTCCAGGAGTCCAGCACACCTGCTCCTGCCCCTTCAGGAACGCACTCACACTCATCCAGCCGCATGCTGCCATTCAGCGGCGCAGTCCGTTCAGGACAAACAGTCCAGAGCACACACGATGGCACCCACACCCACTGAGTGACCCACTCACATCGCACAAAGACGCGTGCTCCTCAGTGACACACGTGATGGCACAATGTCTCATTCAGTGCTGCACATCGCACAAGCACACACATGCTCATCATCAGTCACACATTTGATGGAACATGGCACGACACACTCAGAAGCTCTCAGTGTTCAGCAGTTCATGGTCGCAATACTTGGGTGACACGTGCACATTCAGTGACACATGCCAAAGCACAGCCGAGCATTCACATTCAAGGACACACTCTCCCTCACTGACACGCAGTAACTCACCCTCAGACCCATGCACTCTCACACATACTCAGTGATGTGCACTCACCCTCAGTGGCACTCTCAGACTCGCATAGACTCAATGGCATGCACTCATGCTCCCAACATTCAGTACCACACTTGCCTCTGCTCACGCACCGACACACACACACACACATTCTAGGACACTCTCATTCTCAGAAATTCATACTCACACGTATGCTTGCACACATTTATTCACATGTGCATACATTCACATAGTCACACGTGCTTGGGAATCACAGCACACATGTGCCCTCTCCGACCAAGGGACAGACAGCAAGCTCCAATAGGCTGGCTGGGATCCTACCGTGTCTTTCTGTCCTGCTTCCACAAGTCAGAGGGCTCCTAGAAAGTGACCAGTTGCTATGGCCCTCTTCAGACAAAGAAGGAGGACATGCAGGGGACAGGGCCTTGCCTGAAGAAAGAGGGGCTAGCCATCTGTATGTGGGACCCCACCTAGTCCCCTGCCCTGACGGAACATGCCACAAGAGTCTTCGAGAGAAGGCCAAGCCTTGTGGGCCAAGGGCCTGCAGGTGGAGCCTCACTGACCTTCCCCCTCACACCCATGGTCCTGTGTGCCCAGGGCCACTAAAAGCCCTTCCATCCCTGCGGCTCTGCTGTCTGCAGCCCCCTTGCGCAGCCAGCTGGTACAGATGCAGCCCCAGTGTCCTGGCTATTGGTCCTTGGCTGCTTTGAAGATTGCGTCTTTCCTCTCCCGCTTGGGGATGGTCAGAGGCCGTGTCCCATTGGGACGACTGGAGGCCAGTGGTGGGCATGGAAGGTGCGAGCTCTGCTCCATGTCCAGCTCCACAGTATGGAGGCCTGAGCGAGTGCAGACACTGGGCAGGAAAGGCGCCCTCTTGCCAGGCTCCGCCATGCCCCCCCCCAGGACCCAACGCCTACTCTCAAGACACAGAGAGGAGTGGCCCTCCCAGCTGACTCGCTGGGGAGCAGCACAGGCACTCGGGGTATAGGACACCCCTCTCTGCCTTCCACTCCACCCCTAAGATGTGTGCTCGTGGAACCCCTGACTGTCCCACACTCTGTCCTATGATGGACACCCCACCCTGGCTTTCCCCATGGGTATCTCAGTGTCCAGACTAGGCTGGGTACCCATGGGCAGCTAAGGGTAGGCAGCGTGATGCAGGTGGGAGAATATAAGGCCTGTCCTCCGCTTCTTGCCCAGGGTGTCTGACCTCAGACCATGCCCTTCAGGTTACCGGCAGCCAGATCCAGAACTCGTCGAAGTGTGGAGGAGTGGGTATTTGTAATCCCAGGAAAAGTTACTGAAATTCTAGTAAGTAAATTCTATTCTAGCATAATGCACAGAGAGAATGAAGAGACAAAGACATATCTCCACTTGTGGGCTGCCGAGGGGGTCCAAAGTCCAGTTGTAACAAAGGCCAAAGGGAGGAAAGGCCATGCCCCAGGGCCAAACCAGAGTTTTATTAATTTGTGAAGCAGGGAGACGCTCAGGGACGAGTGACAGTAAGCATGGCACCAAGCGCGTGAGTGCTGGGTGCTGGGCTAGGTAGGAGGCAAAATGACACCTCTGCAGTATGCAGAGTTATGCAGCAAGAGGACTGGATTATGGTAACAGGTAGCATCTACATTAGGAGGAGTCCACATAGCACAGTTGGAGGAAATACCTTGCACTTTTGGTCCCTTTAGCTTTGATGTCTGACCTTCCTGCTCTGGGATGCCACAGACTCTTTCTCCCAGCTCAGTCCCAGCGGACAGCTTGGAGTCTGTCAGCCTACCACATTCTTAGTAGTAGGGCGCTACAGGTGGGGCATCACTGCCCTGTCCATTGCTTGAAAGGCTTTACATCAGTGCCTCAGCTAGACTCATTTCCGATGCTTAAAGTCAAAGAGGGGGTAAAGTATTTTCCTAGCCAGCTCTGTACATATCAGTACATGGAAGTAGGGCAACTTTAGAAAAAACGGAGACACATGGTCTTCTTTCAGGGGGAGCCGTCCCGGTGGTGCTAAACACAGGTATCCTCACCTGAACTTCGTTGCCAGCCTGGGTGTGCACACTGGGCTTCTGATGGTCTGGATGTCATGAGCCCTCTGAGTACTGCCAAGCACCCTCAGGCCTCAGGTCTTGCCACTGTCCCATGCCCTCGCTTCCATGCCTAACTTCTCATTCCTGGGGCTCCGCAAGCGCCTCAATGGTGCCCACACCCACGAGCATCCTGCGGCTCTGTTCTGGCCGGGTAAGAGGACTCCATAGCCCCTTGTGGAGCCTGCCCTCACACCCCACTGCTGAGCCCCCAGGCCCCCATCTACCACACCCCCACCCCAACTACTGCTCCCTCTCAGGTGCCCAAGCTGAGATGGGATGGTTGCTGCAACATCTAGTGAACGTGACTGAAGGTAACCTTTGAATGAATTATTGAAGCAACATGCCAAAACAGACAGGAACTCCTAGGGGCCATGAGGGGCAGAGGTCTGGTTGCCCCTCACCGTCCACAGCTCCTGCCTCATCTGCCCCCTTCCTCAGGGCCCCAGATCTGCCTCTTGCCAGGATGGTGACACCTGGCAATGTCCACTCACTTCAGGCAACAACTTCTGGGTAGCCCTGCCCTACAGTCAGCACAGGACAGCCCCAAGACACCAGAAAACATAGCAGGGGGCCTCTGGTGCAACCACCACCTCAGCTGCAGCTTTTCCTTGCTCACCCACAGTTGCTGTGTCCTCATGGGGTTTCAGCCCCGAAGGTCACTTTCATTCCCAC